TTTTAACATTTACATTAACATTCATTTAATATTTTTTTTAACATTTTACATGCTGCATTTTGCAACTTGTTGACATTTTTTCATTATTTTATGGAATAATATATACCAAAGCCAAGTTCTTAAGTTCTTAAATGATAAGAAGCTTACCAGATTTATCACTAATAACATAACATACATACATAACATAACATAACTTACCTGAGTTATCATTAATAATCACAGAATATGTAGCTTTAACAACACTTTCAACAGTTCGAATACTTTTAGTGGTGCTTAGGCCTGTCATGATTGGCTCAACAGAGTTTTAAGTATGTTTTAAAATATTTTTTAAGTAATATATCGTTGATATGATATCAAAATAAAATTTTATTATTATATATTATAAAATGTTTATATACTGTACACATAACTCTCTCTTACATTTAAATTCACTTAATAGTCTATTGTAGCTGAAAAAGTTGATTTTAGGGCTGCTGGTAGTAAATTTATATTGGTATCTGAAGCAACAGATACCGATATAAATTTACTACCAGGAAATTTATATCTGTTTTCATTATTTTATGGAATAATATATACCAACAAAGGCTCTTTAATTTCTAAACAAAAGAAATAAAAATAACAAAGTTTAATTTTTTAAATTATAATTTATATTTCAAAAATATTATAAATTATAATTTATAAAAATATAGTTTGTTATTTTTGTTTAAAAATAATTGTTAAACTAACTTACATATTCTATGTCATATTCTGATTTTGATGATTCCAGTGCATTTTGTAAAGAAGTTGAATATAAGTTTTCCAGGTTTGATGAACTTTCACATGAAGATAAAGTAGCTTTACTTGCCTATTAATAATTTTTAAAAACAAGATGTTTTTTATTAAGCTCTCATATACTTTTTTACTATATTTAGATTTATAATTAATTGCCTGTGATATGGTTTTTTTTTGTGATAAGATTCTTTTTTGAAGCAGCAACAAAAGAATTATCAGTGATACCAAAGTGTTTAGTTTTCACTTTTTCACCACCATGCTGTTTCAATTCGTATTTTCTTTTATAATCATCGTCAAATATGCAATCGCATCTAAGACCCACCAATTTTTTTCTCTTTCTTTTTTTGTTTTTATTTACATTCATTGTAACTTAAAACAAAATAATTATGCACTTTATAAAAAAGAAAACGATCATAAACATATTTTAGAAACCGGTAACCGACAATAAATCATATGTAGCCGACCTACTTTTTACAATCGAAATCGAGGCTACAATTAACTTTTAAGACATAAAGTTAATCGAAATAGTTTTAAAAAGTTAAAAAAAATATTTTAAAAAGTTAATTAGTCTGCATTGCCGACTACCTTAGTCTGAATTTGGTTTGTGCCGAATAAGATTTAGTGTTTTTTTTTTTTCATAAGAGAGGTTCACGTGAGACTTTTTTACTTAATCTAAAGGCAATTTTACAAGCATTTTTTTGTTTACTGTAGAGTTTTTTAAGCTTAGTATAATTTGTGCTCGCCCAGGCCATGTTACCATAGACTATGTATTGATGAAATGTATAAAATTTTTAAGGAAATGGTGTTTAGGAAAGGTTTTGCTTTATACATTAATGAAATATTTCTTAAAAGCTTTCTCTCTAAAGTGCTTATATGGAGCTTCCACGACAAATTTTCATTTAAAACCACACCTAGAAAGTTTATGAAAGTTTCTCTTTTTATATTAGTATTATTAATTTTTAGATCAGGTAGTTTAAGAGGAATATTTTCATTTTTATTTGGTTTATGAAATAGCCCTGTGGGCACGGGACCTAAAAAAGACGTCTTTTGAACGTTCAAAAGACGTCCAAAACGTTTATAAGACGTTTAAAAGACGTCTTTTTTACGTCCGTGCCCACTGGGAGGATGAATTTGGTCTTTTTGACATTCAAAGAGAGTTTGTTACACCTGAACCACTCTTTTATTTTATGCAATTCTTTGTTAACTTTGTTAAAAAGTGTCTTTATGTTTCTATGTGAATAAAACAAATTGGAGTCATCCGCTAACAAGATTAAAATTAATGAGTTTGGTGTTAAATATAAATCATTTATAAAGAGTAAAAATAATAATGGTGTCAAGATCGAGCCTTGAAGAACCTCGCAAGTTATAACGCTATTTATTGTTTTTGTTGTTTCATACTGAATATATTGCTTTCTGTTTAATAAATAATCTTTAAACCAAAGTAAGTTGTTATTTTTTACTCCATACACTTCGAGTTTTTTTAGAAGAATTTCGTGATTTACGGTGTCAAAAATTTTAGAAAGATCAATAAAAACTCCTAACATAAAGTAATCATTACTAAAAGCATTAGATATTTGATTAACTAGCTCAATTATAGCATGGTCAGTTGAATGGTTTTTTTTAAATCCAAATTGCTTACCGTATAAAAAATTGTTTTCCGTCAAATAATTGTAAAGTCTATTATGCCACGTTCTGGTAATTTAGTAAAACATGCCACGTTCTAGTAATTTAGAAAGACATGGTAAAACAGATATAGATCTATAATAATTAGTATCAAAATTATCTCCAGATTTAAAAATAGGGGTGACTCGGACAAATTTTAGTTTATCTGGAACAATGCCTGATTTCAGTGAAAAATTAAAGATGTGATGCAATGATGGTTCAATGATATCAAATACTGATTTTACGACAAAGCTACTGATATTATCAAAACCCGCACTTTTGTTGTTTTTTAGAGTGTTTAAAGCGGATCGCAATTTATTAGAATCTAGATGTATTTCTTTCATAATCTTTTCTGAAGTAAGGTTCTTAATCAAGTAAGAATGCATTTTGTAGAGTTTTTATTACCGATTATTTCTTAATCGTATTCCATGTTTTCTTAGCATTTCCATGGTTTTTTTTAAACAAATTTGAATAATAAAGCTTCTTTAAGTATTGTTTTGTTTTTTCATTAAGTTTTTATAATTTTTGTAAGTTATTTCATTTTTATAAGTTTTATTTTTTAGGAATTTGACCTAGAGTTTTTGTTTTTTTCTTGAGGATTTAATTTAACCTTTAGACATCCAAGGAGTTAAAAGTAACTTTTTGTTTATAACAACAGTTTTAACTGGAAACGCTTTTTCATAATATTTACAAAATTGACAAAGTTCGTAGACGTTGTTCGCATCGCTTGATTGCAATATAAGATCCCAATCAACACTGTTTTTAGTCAACTTTTGAATTAATTAATGTAAGGAGTTTTCATTGACCTCTCGTTAGTATATAGTAGGTTTGAGAGAGGTATTGTTTGGTACTATGTTTTTAGTAGTTAAGAAGGTGGGAAAATGATCTGAAAGCTCTGTCTTAATTATACGAGTGAAAAAATGGGAGTTGTTGATTAATATATTATCGACTACGGTAGAAGAATTTTTAGCTATTCTGGTTGGCTTAATAATTGTTGGAATTAAACTGTGCTCAAGTAGAGTATAAATAAATTGTTTAACATGATTATTAGAAGTATGCTTTAACAAATGTTTGTAAAATTTGTTTGTAAAAACACACAAAAGCATGTTAACAAATGTAAACATGCTTTTGTGTGTTATTAATTTTGTTTAAGAAAGTTTTGAATGTTTTAAATTTCCACCTGGTTGTCTATAAATTGCATTTATGATTATGTTTTTCGAGTTTTTAATAACTAATTCTATGCATAATGACTTACAATCTGTTTCATTCACACTAAGATCCCTACGCAAAATAAACTCAATTGAATTGTGGATATAAACACCTACTCCTCCTCCAGAATGAATTTTAGGCGGTTGATGAACAGATGTATAATTTTTTAATTCGAATTATGGATTTTTTTCACCTTTAGACTAAGTCTCTATAAAACAAATAATGCCAAAACATGTTTTATTTCGTCAAGTAAAGATTTAAAATTTTTTTGTTTAGGTTTTTGTTAAGATTTCGGATATTAATATTTAAAATTAAAAATAAGACTTTGTTTAGGTAAAAATATTTTGCGGTTTGGTAAATCTGGTAGTAATTACTTTCGAGTACTTGCGGTTTGGTAAATCGAGTAAGTAATTACTTTCATATGTTATTTTATCAAAGTATTTTGTTTATCACTAAGAATTAAATTTTCAGGAAAATATTTTAATCGCAAATTGCCCTACATTTAAAAATTAATAATAATAAAAAACTAAATATAAAGAAAAGAAATAAAGATATTTTTTTAGTGTTCCGATTTAACTCCTTCACAATCAGTTTACAATATGCTAAAATTGTATATTTTCCGAAATTTCTTGCAACCTTCATTTTCTCAATAAGATCACGTCGTATTTTATTTGTTTCTTCCGAAAAGTCCTCGTTTATAAAAATCTCTTTTCCTTTTAGCTTCTTTGCATTTTTCAAGATTAGTTCTTTATCTTTATAATTTAAAAGTTTAACTATAACAGTTCTTGGGGTATCCATATTATTAGAAACTTTTCCAATTCTGTGTGCTCTTTCTATTACTATATTTTTATTTTTTAAAAACCTAATCAAGATTTTTGATTTAATTTTATTAACACAAGATCATCCGGAAGAAACTCTAAATTAAAAAAAAATTTAATTTATTTATTAATTGATGAAAAATTGATTATTCCTATAGGAAATTTATTTCAGAAAAGGATAATTGCTTCGAAAAAATTTTTTTTATTCAAATATAAAAGAAACAATTTGATGAGTGATAAGAAGCAATACTTCTGCATTACAAATAGTAGATTAGAGGTTTTTATTATCAAATTCAAAAAGTTAGAGGTTAGTTTAGAAGTTTTTATCAAATAAGAGCTTTTAAAAAGTAGTTTAGTTTTTAATAAAAAAACGAACCGCAATTAAAAATAAAATGAAACGATAAACTTCATATACTTAACTTTGAGGATGTTTCTGATATTTTGTAAGTCAACAACGTATTTCGTATTTAAATAAATTTTTAAATGTGAACTTTTTGATCACAAACTTTGTTTTTTTTTAATTTTGGCAGAATATGTTATACAATTGGTTGGAATGAAAGTGTTTTAAGTTATAGAACCGCTTATTAATGACAAATTATTGAAAAAATTCTTACATTTCTTACTATTATTAACTATGTAGACTGATAGAAATTTTACTTGAACTTGAACCCAGAAAGTCAATTAAAATTTTCGTCAAAAAAAAAAACAGCAGCGAAAGACGCATTAAAAATGCGATTGTTGATTAGAAATAAAAAACTGTTTTTTTTATTTATTATTTTTGCTTTTATTTGTATCATCTTTATAAACTTGAATAGTATGGTTAATTATAACAACAGTTACCGTGGATACTATAAAAATCATCGTGAATACATAAAAGATGATCATGAGAATAAAAATTATCAACTTAAAGATAATTTGATACTTCACATTAAAACTATAGAACAAATACAAAAAAATCGTTACGGTACAAGTACATGTGTATTACCGTATCTCAATCCATTTAGCCCTGATATATTGCAATTTATTCAAACACCTCACCTTAGTTGCTCGGTGAAACGTTATGGAAGAATTACAAATGATGGCTGGTTCATTTTACAATCAAATAATGCAAGTGTTTCCACAATTACTATAAAGTATATTTATCGCAAGACAGATTTTATTGTAAATTTTTCAGATGCTATCTTAGTTAAAATCGAAAACG